TAGTGCGACCTTCCTTGTTGATGTTGGTTGGAGCACCTCCTCGATGAGATTAGTTGTTGATTGATCTTCCTCTACCTTTGTTGTTGCTCCACCCTCCTTTAGATGAGCTTGTGTAGAGAGTTAAGTGTCACGGACTAATTTTCCTTGAGTCACCCGTGCGGCTTTGGTGCTCTTCCGTAGCCCTAAATCAGCCTCACCCTCGCGACGCTGGATTTGTGAGCACCAAACACTTTTAAGAAGAAGAGTAGAGAGAAAGGAACACTTCACACTTGAATACTTGAAAGCTTTGATTCAATGCTTGAGTGATTACAAATGAGGGGAGGGACTCCTATTTATAGCCCCCTCCAAGCCTAATGAAATATTCTAGAATACATTAAATTATTATAGTTTCTAGAGAGCTCTACATTCCTCTCTTATTACACACATAGCCCTAGAACATTCTAGGTTATTCTTAATTTCTCCTTGGAGCCTTTCTTTCTTATTTTCTCTAGAATTGGGAGGAATCTTCTAGAACCTCTTGGATGACTCCCTACATTCCAGCCTTCTCTAGAATCTTCCGCCCCATGCTTGTCTTGCCAACTTATTGAATATAGCGGAGTGTGACACTCCCTCCCACTTAAACCCACCTCTTAAACCTGCAATGCCCTCATTGCGGCTTCCCCTGCACCTTTGAAACTGCCTTCTTGGTTTGCCCCCAGCTTTGGCAAACTTTGGTTTCTCCTTGGTGTTATGGGAGAGGGGTGTCACGCAACAAGTCTTCCTGGTTGGCGGCTTAGCCCTTGCCTCCAACCTTGTCGAACCATCTTTCTTCTTTCTTGGTGGAACCTCCACCACTTTCCTTGACATCCCATCTCTTTGTGTCTTTTCTCCTTCATTGGTATCTTGAAGAATAGCCAAGTTGCCCCCCTTGTCCTGGTCAATGCCATCCTTGAGTTGGATTACCGATAGCGTTTTGGATCCTTGCTTGCTTAACCTCATTATTGGTACTGAGCAGGCTTGACTCCCTTCTGTGATGCACAGACTATTGGCAAATGACATTGTAAATGCTCTTGTTTGCTCCAATAAGTTCATTCTCAGGACAACTTTGTAATCATCCAAAGGAATGACAGAGAAATCTAGAGTACCTGACCATGCCCCAATATTGTTCTTGACTCCCTTAGTCACTCCGTCGATTGGCATCTCTGCTGAGTTGACGACTTTAATGGAGCCCCCTCCTTTAGTCATATCCTTATCCACCCCCAACCTCTTTGCTTCCTCGCTAGAGATGAAGTTGTGGGAAGCACCCGTATCCACCTTTCCTTGGGGTTTTGTTGAAGCTTGTATCCCGTTCAGTAGTTGAAGAGATCCCACATGTGCATTCATGTCATTTTCCCTATCATTCTCTTCTTCCTCCTTATGGCTTGCAAGAAGAGAGTTGAGGGACTTTTTCTGAGGGCAATCTCTTGCCCGATGAGGTCCTTCACAAAGAAAGCAGTGGTTTTGATATGACTTATTGTTGGGCTTTCCCTTGTCCCTTGCCTTTGTTGGAGTTGATTCACGACGTTTCTCCTCCTTGTTTTTGCCCTTGTCATCCCCACCTTTGGCATCACAACTCTTCTTATCTTCAGGCTTTCTAGACTCCATTGAATAATCAATCAAGCTTTCAACAACTGCGATGGTAGTGATAAGATCTTGCACTCCTCGCCTCCTAAGCTCGGTCTTTGCCCAATGTTGGAGCTCATCCATGAAGTTGAAGAGAGCATCCTTGTTTGACATATCTGGGATTTCAAGAACCAAGCTTGTAAACTCCTTGATATAGTCTCAAATCAAATCATCTTGCATAAGCCTTCACAGTCGGGCTCGAGCCTCATCCTCAGCATTCTAGGGGTAAAACTACCTCTTTAGCTCTCTTTTGAAGTCATTGAAAGTGGACACGGAGCACAAACCTTTCTCTACATCTCCTTTTCTTCTTCTCCACCAAAGCATAGCGATGCCCGAGAGACAAATTGTATTTTTGCATCGTATCGGCAATCCTCATCGCTCCAAATTATTGCTTTAGTCTCCATATTTAGTCTCCAAAGGAAGTTGGCTTCTTCCTTCGCGTTGCGAACCCCTCCAAAACTCATAAGTTTTGGAACTTCAATCCTTTTGGCTTCGAAAGTGGGATGGCTTGTGGATGTTGCTAGTGCCCTCTTACTCAGTGAAATATTTCTATGCATCTCCTCCAAGCTAGCACGCATGTCGCTCATCTCCTCCTCATAGGCTCTTCGCACCTCTTGGAGCTCCCTCAACAAATCCTCCTGCAACTTAGCCATATGACCCATTAAAGTCTCCTCAAATTGAAACATCATACCTCTGATCGTTGAATGGATGGTGAAGTCCTCCTTCTCGAGTCCATCAACCTTTTGGCCAAGATCTTCTACTTGACCCTCCATGCCATTCATTGCCTCATCCATTTGAGCAAGGCGCAAATCAAAGTCATGCATGATCTCCTTGGACTTCCCACGTGGCTTGGGTGCAACGGGATCTCTTTGCTCCTGGCAACCTCGCCCTTGAGATAACTCCACATTAGTGGCTTCCGACTCCATCACGTGCTCTTTGATGCTTTTTGCCATTTTTTCGAACCAAGGTTCTAATACCAACTGTCACGTACTAACTTCTCTTAAGTCACCCGTGCGGCTTTAGTGCTCTTCCTTAGCCCTAAATCAGCCTCACCCTCGCTACACTGGACTTGTGATCACCAAGCACTTTTAAGAAGAAGAGTAGAGAGAAAGGAACACTTCACACTTGAATGCTTGAAAGCTTTGATTCAATGCTTAGGTGATTACAAATCAGGGGGAGAGACTCTTATTTATAGCCCCCTCCAAGTCTAATGGAATATTCTAGAATACATTAAATTATTATAGTTTCTAGAGAGTTCTACATTCCTCTCTTGAGTTCTACTAGAGAGTTCTACATTCCTCTCTTATTACACACATAGCCCTAGAACATTCTAGGTTATTCTTAATTTCTTCTTGGAACCTTTCTTTTTTATTTTGTCTAGAATTGTGTAGAATCTTCTAGAACCTCCTGGATGGCTCCTTACATTTCAGTTTTCTCTAGAATCCTTTCCAGCCTTCTCTAGAATCTTCCGCCCTATGCTTGCCTTGCCAACTTCTTGAATATAGCGGAGCATGACATAAGGTACTTAAACTACATCCTTGGTGGTTTCAGCAGCAATTTTTGTTTCCTCACTGCACAACAGTGAATACAAGTTGCCCAGCTGAATTGGCTCCAGTTTTGTTCTTATAGCATGTTTGAAGGATTGGTAGGTGGGAGGGAGACCGTTAAGAGTGCAGAGAATGAAATCTTCATTATCTAACGTGTGCACCAACAGCATATATGTTGTCTACAAGGTCTTTGATCTCAAGTAGGTATTGAAACATTTGACAGATTTTATATGGAGACGTGGTGAAACTCATTTTTCAGCTGTATGACTCTTGACTGGTTGATTGATTGAAAACTTTTGGCTAGAGTCTCTCATATTTCAGAGGTTGATTCAAGGTTAAGGATGTATGACAAAATGAATGGTGATATTGTGGAGTAGTGGGCTGTAGAAAGGTTCTGATCAATGAGTTTCCAAATGGAGTATTGGAGATTTGGAGATATTTGACCATTTGTGTCCTAGAGTTTGAGGAGAGGGACATGTGGAGGAGTCATTCAAGAATCCTTCGAAGTCATTGGCCTTGAATAATTTGACTAATTGTGGTTTCCAAGTTGCATAGTTTTTGGCTGTGAGCTGAATTTTGGTGATGATTTTGATGTTTGGCATAAGAAATTGGAGGGAGGGTGTGATTTCAGGAGCTGCCATGGTTTAATCCGAATAGTCTTCTATTCTGCTGGTGTGAGTTGATGAACCAGATATGATTTGGTAGAGAAAGAAGGGAAGAACAAAGGAGAATGGCTATTTACCAATGCTCTAATACTATGATAAATCTGAAAAGGGAAGAAAGCAGAAACTGGACTACAGTAGTATCTATTGATTTGAAAAAGCAGATTACATGAATTGGTAATGTTCTTCATACACGCATATTCTGTATTATATTGCTTGGTTTATATAGACAATTGATTACTCGGTTTAGAAGATTGTGGAGTTCTGAAATAATTGGAGGGAATTTAAAATTGGTTATTTGACAGAGGGGAAAAGTGTGCAACCTGTATGCCTGTTGGTTGCAGTGGGGACCATGTGGTTGTTTTTTTTAAGGAATGGCCGGAGGCTATTAGACGAGCCCCAGCCATCCCTAAGTGTGCTAAATATTCGAGTATTAAACTCTACACACGGGGGGAATCGAATCTGTGTCCTGAGGGGACTTATGACCTTTAGAGAGACTGTTCTATCAACAGACCACGAAGCACGCACGGGACCATGTGGTTGTTAAATACATAGGAATTGGGTGTTATGTATGTAAATGCCGAAAAAAAAAAAAAAACATGCGACTAAGTCTGTGTAGTGCATTTTTTCAGTAGAGTCAAAATTAGGCTCAACAACTTGACAATTTGGATATGTTAGTCATGAATATTTTAGTGTGAAATGAGGTCTACATGATTGAGCACTATCTATTTTGGCATGTTTAGGCCTTTTTTAATTTTGGCAGTATTAAGTGCTTCCAAGCTTACTCTTCTGCAGCAAGTATAATATGTAAATATTTAGGAAGATTTAAATATATACCACTCAATTCTTATGTATTTACATATCTAACACGTAAACTTCAGTTTTTACATACCTCCTTGCTTATGCATGAAAATGTGTATTTCACTTTTTAAAATTTACAATGGTGGCATTTTGATGTGATATGTAAGATTTGGGTGATATAAATGTAAAAATTAAAGTTTAGGTGTTAGATATGTAAATAATAGGAATTGAGTGGTATGTATGTGATTGCCCCAAATGTTAAATATTCTCAAAATTTATATAATCAATTTGTGCGACTTAGCAAATTTTTCCCAACGTTGGCTGTTTTTAACCAAGTTGTATTTTGCAGGTCATTGTTATCTTCCGAAAAATCAACATCATAATGACACATTTACTTTCAACTTCTTGCACTGTTAACCTCTCCCCAGCCATAAAAACCCATTTTAGACCACAAAATAAGAGCACTAGCAGCTGTTTTTCTTCATTTTCAAGCCATACATCTCCAATCTTCAAATCATTTAGGAGAAAACTTCAAGGAACAAATACTATTTTTGCTACAGCTGCTCCTATAAACCAAGAGTTTGAACACGTTCCAAAATCTCTATCTTCAACAAATTCAAATGGTCCTATATCCAAACCCAAAAAGGTGATGGTTATCGGTGGCGATGGATTTTGTGGTTGGGCTACCGCTCTCCACCTTTCAAATAAAAACTATGAGGTTGCTATAGTTGACAGCCTCGTTCGTCGTTTATTCGATCAACAGCTCGGCGTCGACTCACTTACACCAATATCTTCCATACAAAACCGAATTCGTCGATGGAAATCTCTTACCAGCAAAACTATGAAACTATACGTTGGAGACATTTGCGACTTTGAGTTCCTCTCCGAAGCTTTCAAATCCTTTGAGCCCGATGCGGTCGTGCACTTTGGCGAGCAAAGGTCTGCGCCGTATTCAATGATAGATCGATCGCGAGCCGTTTTCACTCAGCAAAATAATGTGATTGGAACTCTAAATGTTCTCTTTGCCATTAAAGAGTTTGCTGAGGAATGCCACCTTGTGAAACTTGGGACTATGGGGGAATATGGAACTCCAAATATTGATATTGAAGAAGGCTATTTAACAATAACACACAATGGAAGAAGTGATACATTGCCTTATCCTAAACAAGCAAGCTCTTTTTATCACTTGAGTAAAGTACATGATTCACATAACATAGCTTTTACATGTAAGGCATGGGGACTAAGAGCGACAGACTTAAATCAAGGTGTGGTTTATGGAGTAAGGACCGATGAAACTGAGATTCATGAGGAGTTATGCAACAGATTTGACTATGATGGTGTGTTTGGGACGGCATTGAATAGGTTTTGTGTTCAGGCTGCAGTCGGGCACCCTCTCACGGTTTACGGCAAAGGGGGTCAAGTAAGTATCAGAACTATTTAATATGTTTTTATAATTTTTTTTTCTATTATTTCTCGCTTAGCAGATGAGAGATTATAAAGAGAAAAGTGTCAAAATAATTACTTACTCTTTTTAGGGAGTCATTTACGTCCTAGAGTTTAAAAGTGCCCATTTAGTCCCAAACTAGTTTAATATGGAATGAATAGCCCCCTCAGAGGACTATTTCAGGCTTTCAACCCCAATTTAACGAGCCTTGGGACTAATTTGACACGTTTGTAGACTCTGGGATTAAAATGACCCCATGTGAGTAGTTAGGGGACTATTTAGTTACTTTGCTCAATTTATAGTTGAATTTTATTCTCTTGTTTTGTGTTAAAAAATAAGAACATGCACATCATCAGGTGAAGAAACAATTATCAAGACGAAAGTATCGAAACTGGCAATTAATTCTAGAGTCTAGAATTTATTGTATGGCAGAAATTGATGCTGATATACATGAATTGTTGAATTTTTATAAATGGAATGTTTTCATTCATGAATTGTTAGATTGTCGTATTTGAAATGTTTTTGATCATGTAGTACTCACCATTAATTTAGTATTATTTCAACAACAAGTGTATGTACATTTGAAGTTAAAACACACAATGAACAATACAAATGAAACATTTGGTACTCTCACTCTCATGCTTGACAAAATCCTTATTGTAGTTGCTAATCTTTTTTTCTCAAAAACTCATTCATTGGATGCTTGAACAAATTAAGGGGCTGTTTGGAATCTCTTTTTTTATTTCTATTTCTATTTTTATTTTTATTTCATTTTGTTTATGGTTTAATTTAAAACAAAATAGGTTTGAATATTGATTAAAGTATAATTGTTTTAAAAAAAATTTAAATGACCTAAAAGTTATTTGAATGTTATCAAATACATGTTAATTTACTTTTAGAAATAAAAAAATTAAAACATGTAAAAAAGTAAAGGATATGGATCCACCTCCCTGCTGCAACACAACCGAAAAGGACACCTTAGCTAATTCAGAGCGCTCACCTATGTCAGATCAAATCCCACCATTCATTTAATAACAAACTTAACCCATCTTTTCTATATATATTCATCCCTGTAAAACTTGCTAACTACTGGAAAAAGTTAATTTCGTTCACCTCTTTTCTTCTGTGTTAGTGTTTTATCATGGTATCAGAGCTTCCCCATCCTGAGACCTCAACTTCTCTGGTTCTCTGATATGCCTCCCAATGACTTACTACTACTTAGGTGCTTCCACCGGCGGCAACACCTCTTCCCAGTTCAACCCCCAACCCTTGGACAATCCTATTTCGTCTCAGCTAAAATTCATCCTCGACAACATAAAAAACATCATCTCAGCCCAGCTCACTGTCGACAATTATCCAACATGGAAAGCACAAGTTCTTAAACTCTTCTGAGCAAGTGGGTACGACACATTTCTCAATGGAAATTGTCTATGCCCTCCTCGGCAAACTACTGATGAGAACGAAACTCCTATTCCCAAACCCGATCACCTCAAATAGACGCTCATAAATCAAAATCTGGTGGCACCTCTATACTCCGTTATATTGCCTCCCATCCTATCTTATGTTCTACCTCTAGAAACTTGCCATGAAATATGGCAAACCATAGAGCAACGCCTTCAGTCATCCAATCGCTCTTGCATAATTCAGCTGAGAAATGAGCTTCACAATCTAAGCGTGGCAAACAAAATTATGAATCAATACATTTCAGAAATAAAGGCAAAGTTCGACACTCTTCCTGTAGCTGGAGCCGCCCTTAACCCGGAAGATGCCATCCATCACATACTCAATGGCCCACCCTCTACCTACCACGCATTCAAGACAGCCTTTCACACCAATCTTAACCCACTCTCCTTAGATGACCTTTATTTTACACATTATTATGTAGTGAAGAAATAAACTTAGTAAATGAGGCTTTTAAAGAACAATCCAATACCACGACACTATATGCCTCTCGCGGTCGAGGCAGAAATAGGGGTAATTCATCTTTCATGAGAGTGGTAACAAGCATACTTCCTCACCTCAAGCCAACTATGATTCCAATCGCAACAATCTTCCTGCTCCAATTTTCCAAATCTGCCGCAAGATTGGGCATGGGGCATTCAAATGTTGGTACCGTCACGACAAGTCATACCAAACTCCAACAGCTCTCCTTGCCAACAATGTCAAAACTATGGATAACGAATGGTACACCGACAGTGGAGCCACCGAGCATATGAAATCTAAACCAAATCATATTCACAACGCTCAAGAATATCAAGGAGATAAAATAATATCTGTTGGAAATGGGCAGCAACTTCCCATTGCTCATATCGGGCAAGGAATCCTTCTAACCCCACATAGTAAGCTTACCCTATCTAATCTTCATCACATCCCAAATCTAGCATACAATCTCATTTTTGTTCACAAATTAACTCAAGCTAACTGTTGCTCAATTACCTTCAAATTTGATGGGTACCACATCACCGATCTCAAGACCAATTGTTTACCAATCAAACAATCCTTAGCGGCCCGTGCATTTATGGACTCTACCCAGTGCAATCTTGTCTCACCCCACAGCCTCCCACTGATTTCTCTGTTGTCTCCGTTCAACACACTCCACAAATTTGGCATCAAAGACTCAATCATCCCTCAAGGAAAAAGCAATCCATCATTGTTTCAAGATTCTCCTTCCTATGCTCCTTTTCTAAGCAATTATATTATAACTCATGTCATGTAGGAAAGAGTCATAAGCTCTCTTTCTCAATTTCTTGTTTTACGTTATCTTGTTCGCTAGAGTTAATTCACTCTGATGTATGGGACCTTCCCCCACTCCATCTACACAAGCTTATAAATATTACTTGCTCTTTATTGACGACTTTACTCCTTACACTTGGATTTACCTTCTTCGCAATAAAAGTGAAATGTCTCACAATTCAAATCTCTAGTGGAAAATCAATACCCCTGCAAAATTAAATCTATCTGCACCAATGGAGGCAAAAAATACATCAACAAAATCTTTCAACTTATAACCAACCAACATGACATTTTACACCAACAATCTTGTTACACGCCGGAACAGAACGGTGTGGCCGAACGAGAACATCGTCACCTACTTGATATCACTCATGCTCTCATGACAACAACTTTCCTACCACCACATCTCTGGGCTGACACCATTCTCACAACAATAGACCTCATAAATCACCTAGCCCTCGGCACCAATAACATCACATCCCCTTACAAATTTCTCCACAACCATTTTGCCTCCTATACTTCAAACTATTTGCATGCTTATGTTACCCGTGGCTCAAATCATGCACTCAAAGAGAACTTGCACCCCTATCCACTCCATGGGTCTTCCTTGGCTATGCACCTCATCAAAAAGGCTATCGATGCCTAGACCCAATCTCTAATAAACTCTACATCTCTCGTCATGTCCTATCCAATGAACACATTTCTCCCTTCTCCCAACAAGCCCAAACCTAACTAACCAAACCCATCTCCCCTAAACCACACCATAAGCTCCTCACACCCGCAACTATAATCCTCAAACCAGCCTCATCCATACCATCATCCGTACCTATCAGCTCTCCTCCAACAATAACCGAACCACCATCTCCTACATCTCATTTCACTCACCTTATCACTACCACCCGAACAACCCATTCCACGAACCCCACAACTATCAACCCATCCCATGCGAACTCGTCTTCAAACTGGTCACCTCAAACCACGCCAAATACTAAATCTTACTCATCAAGTGACCTCTGACTAAACATGGTACTCATCCACAATCAAATATCCTCAATGACGGGAAGCTATGTCCGCGGAATTCCAAGCTTTTCAATCACATGGCACCCGGATCTTAGTTCCACCTTCTCCTCACTACAACATCCTTAGGTCCAAATGGACATGTCAAACCAAACTAAACTCTGACAGCTCCGTCTCCCGCTTTCAAGCCTGTTTGGTAGCTCAAGGCTACGGACAACTGCCTATATCGAAACCTCGGCCCCGTAGCCAACCTTCCCACCGTCTGAGTACTCATCACTATTGCACCTAATAGCCATTGCATATTCTCCAACTGGATGTCTCCAATGTGTTTCTTCACGACAACCTCACCAAAACCATTTACATGTTTCAACCGTAAGGTTTTGCCAATCTCATTCATCCAACCTATGTTTGTTTCCTTAAAAAGGCTCTCTACGGCCTAAAATAGGCTTCACATCAATGGTTCAGCACTCTCGGATTCAAGCCAAGCTTGGCCGACCCATCACTTTTCTACCTACACACCACCACTGCTCACTTTTGCATCCTCATATAGGTTGATGATATTCTTGTCACCGAAAATCATTCCTCACTCATTCAGTCCACCATTCAAAAAGTTAATTCTCAATTCAACATAAAAAATCTTGGTCCTCTCTCTCACTTCCTTGGCATCAAAGTTACCAACACAAGCTATGGTCTTCACCTTTCTCAACCCAACCATGCAATTGATATTCTCAACTTAGTCGGCATGGGCAATTCCAAACCTGCACCCATTCCATGCTCTCCCAAATCAGCCTCTACTCCACTCGATACCACCTCCCTCTCGAACCCAACACTCTGCCGTCAAATCGTAGGCTCACTACAATTTCTAACTCTCACTCGACCTAGCCTTTGCCGTTAGCCTTGCCTCTCAACTCATGCAGCAACCCACCACCCACCATTTCACTCAACTCAAACGTATACTCCGCTTCACCTATACCAGATCAAATCCCACCATCCATTTGATAACAAACTCTGAACCTATCTTTTCTATATATATTCTTCCCTGTAAAACCTGCTAACTACTGGAGAAAGTTACTTTCAGTCACTCTTTTCTTCTGTGCGAGCATTTTATCAAAAAATATGCAAATATGCTTAACAAACAAGTTAAAATATGCTTAACAAACAAGTTAAAAAAAAAAAAACTAACAGAATTGATTCAAAACAAGCCCTAAACATATGTTTAACACCTCTTAATGACTGCCCTCACGGTGTTTATTAGGATAGTTCATATCTTACTGTCTGAGTTTCACTAATGCTGCACTAATAAATCTAGGGACATTTACAAACATATCACCAATTCCTATGTATTTACATATTAACACCCAAAATTTTATTTTTTACATTTATACCACCCAAACCTCTCATATCACATCAAAAACATCACCATTTTAACTTTTAAAAGGTTGAATACACCTTTTCATGCATAGGTATGATGGCATGCATGTAAAAATTGAAGTTTATGTGTCACATATGTAAATACACATGAATTAAGTGGTCTTTATGTAGATTTTCCATATATCTATGACCAACATCTCAAATAACATCACTAAATGCTTTATATTTTGTGAATACCTTCGAGAATATTATAGTCTTACAACCTTAACGCTGTACTAGTATATTTTTTACCAACATTTCAAAATAACTTCACTAAAAACTCTAGTGAAGAGTGTTAAAATAATCCTCTGACTTTTTTGCAGGGGTCATTTCAGTCTCAAAGTTTATAAAAATGTCAGTCTAATCCATAGACTTCTTTAAGTGCATAGTGAGGAAATTTTAGCACCTATAAAAAGAGTCTGGGGCTATTACTGTTTTATATAAACTTTAGAACTAAAATGATCATATGTAAATAGTTACGGTAATATTTTGGCAATTTACTCAGATAATTCGTATGTGCAGAACATTACAATCCTACAATCATACGTTAAATTTTACTCTTTTATCCATGCAGACCCGTGGCTATTTAGATATAAGAGACACGGTTCAGTGTGTAGAACTCGCTATTGCAAATCCATCCAAACCCGGCGAATTCCGCGTTTTCAATCAATTCACAGAGCAGTTCTCCGTAAACGACCTCGCTCGCCTTGTGACCAAAGTTGGTGAAAAACTTGGCCTTGAAGTTCAGACAATTTCTGTGCCGAACCCTCGAGTTGAAGCCGAAGAACACTACTACAATGCGAAACACACAAAGCTTATTGAGTTGGGACTTGAGCCGCACCTCCTCTCTGATTCTCTTTTAGATTCGCTGCTTAACTTTGCCATCCAGTTCAAAGATAGAGCAGATCTTTCACAAATCATGCCAAATATTTCTTGGAGGAAGGTGGGAGTGAAGCATGGAACAGCTGCAGTTCAGTTATGATGAGAGAGAGATAGCTTTGCAGCTGTAATAAAGTTGTGTGATGTCAATATTATAAAAGTTGACATTTTGGCTATTTTTGTAACTTAGTATGTTCATGTTTGGGATATTGTAAATGAAGAGCAGCTATTGAAAGTGCAGGGCTGGTGCTGCTGATTTTAGCTATATAAACTTCATTCATGGCTCCCAATTCTTATGTATTTACATACTTAAAAAATTATTTTTTATATTTATACAACTCAAAGCATTCATGTCATACAGAAATGTCATTATTTTAACTTTTAATTTTACTACTAATGCTGCACAAATATGATGGACCTACAAGTTTAGCAATATAAACATGAGCTTAAATGCCTTTTTACAATCTAAACCCTAAGAAAAGGTGCATAGGTGCATTCCCATTCATAGCACGTAATTCTTATGGATTTATTTATCTCACATCAAAACTTTCATAGCATAACATTCAAATCTTCTCTATCACATCAAAAATAATATTAATTATCATTTTTTAATAGTGAAATTAATTTTTCCATCTCCCATTCATAGCACGTAATTCTTATGGATTTATTTGTCTCACATCAAAACTTTCATAGCATAACATTCGAATCTTCTGTATCACATCAAAAATAATATTAATTATTATTTTTTAATAGTGAAATTAATTTTTCCATCAACGATGAAGTGCTATGCACTTAAATATGGAAGATTAAGGGTAAGATATGTGAATCCATAAGAATTAGGTGCTGCATCAAATTCATTACACAATCAAAACATACTAAAAATTCAATTAATGTGCCCATTAATCTCAAAATTGCAATGATTATCTATTTATCATTAATAATGTTCCTAATCATAAAAATAATATGCATGGAAATACTATGTTAATGCAAAATGCATTTTCTCAAACCTTGATTTACTTCAGCCTTTCAGCAGCAAGTGAGTCGCACCGGCTAGTTAGGGTTTCTTCCACCTGTGTCTTTCGGAGAAATCCTCAAATGCGTCGTCTTCTCCGATTCCCCTTCATTTTGTCAAACGCGCTCAACCAATCATGCTTGAAAAATCTGCGCCTCCTCCACGAAGCTGCATCCAAAACCCTAAAAGCTTCCGTTTCGGACATCAACGTCTCCTACCTCGTCGGATCCTGCGGTCTCTCGCCATCAGCTGCCCTCAAAACCTCCAAAAAGTTCACCCTCAAAGCCACCGGTAACTCGGATTCCTTCCTCTCCCTCCTCAGATCTCATGGTTTCACACAAACCCAGATCGCGAATATAGTCACCAGCTATCCCACGCTGCTCAATTTCAACCCTGAAAAGATTATCAAGCCTAAGCTACAGTTTTTTCTCTCTGCTGGTTTCTCCAATGCGGATCTCGTCAAGTTTATCTCCAACGATCCCCACATTCTTAATTTCAGCCTGGAAAACATGATCAAACCCAACTTTCAGATGCTCAAAAGCATCCTGGGATCAGATAGGGAAGTCGACATCGCCATTAGGAACTCTTCCAGGCTTCTCCGGATTAGATTAGATAAGGTTATGCTGCCCAACATGAAAACCTTAAGAGACATCGGAGTTCCACCGCACAATATCGTTAAATTAGCCACCTTTCATCCCAGATCGATGATGAAAAGTCCCGCCCACTTCACCGAATCAGTTGATTTGCTGAAGACAATCGGCTTTGATGCATCTAAGCCTTTGTTCACTCTCGGAATCAATGCTCTCTCTGTACTTTCCAAATCCTCATGGGCCAAAAAATTGGATTTTTACGGCAGATTCGGATGGTCTGAGAAAGACACTTTAAGCGCATTCAAGAAGTATCCTTACTGCATGTCTTATTCGGAGGAGAAGATCAAGCAAACTATGGTTTTTTTTGTTGAAAAACTGAAATTTGATCCTTCTTCTGTGGCAGAACGACCGGTTTTACTTTCTTTCAGCTTTGAGAAGAGAGTCGCCCCGAGACATAAGATCTTCTGTATGTTAGCATCGAAGGGATTGACGAAGAAGAATATGGATTTCAGAACATTTTTAATTGTTCCTGAGAAGAAGTTCATTGATAATTATGTTACCAGGTATGCCTGTCAAGTACCAGAAGTGCTTATATTATACAAGGATAAGTTAGAATTATTGGGATGTAAGGTGGAACATTGAGAGTGGCAATATAAATTTTGTCAATGCTGTTTTGGTTTCCTATGATTCGGGAGCTTCCCCGTTGACTTTGCTTGAAATTCTGTCATTGAGAAGAAATCTTGAAAATCATCAAGTTCTGCATATCTGAAAATTTGGAAGTTGGGGTTTTTAGCTGCCTGGCTCTTTCTAAATAGGTGATTTTAGTGAGTTGGTGATGGATTTCAGGCAGTCACCTTAAATGGAGATAATGTTACTCGCGGTCATCCATACGTACGGTCATTCATACGTGTACTCACCGTATGCACATGTACGGATCATTCTCAGGTAATATTTTTTTCCCTTAAATTTGTGATTATTACTTTTAATATGATTTAAGAGATGATTTAATATAGTTAGATATAAAAGCACCCAATCATTAGTTGAAATGATGGATTTCTTTGACATATTTACTTCCTAGCTATTTATGTTCTCTGGATGCATCCAGAGTCAAATAGTGGGGCGTCACGTGTCAAGTGGGGACACCGATATTTATTTTTTTTATGTTTTCGTGTCATAACCATATGCATCGAAGGTATTTTTCTCTTTTTAAAAGTTAGTAGTAATTTTTTTTACATGATATTAAATATTTGAGTATTAATGTATACAAATAAGAAAGTTAAGGTGATATAATTATGTGTTGTGTATGCAAATGCCCCTTCATATATATATATATTTATCCTAGTTTGTTATAGTATAAAATTATGATGATTTAGGCAAATATGAATCCTTTGGCTTATGGATGGCCATTTGTTGGTGCCTCTAGCTCATTGAAAGGGTGTTTGGTAGCACCTTTGAATATGATTTATTACGGGATTTATGAAATTCATCGCAATGCATGAGTTCTATGGATTTAAAAGTTTTCAAATTTAAGGGCCGAATTTTTGTTTTTTTGTCTTCGATTCGGCTTAAATCCGGAGAAGTTGGATGTAACGGATTTAAGATTTTAATAATTGGCCAATCTTTATATTTAGAAATTAATTATTTATAGTAAAATATTTTCTACTCAAAATTTAAGCAGATGTTTCTTGTTAACTTGTACAATTAGTTTAGAAGTGGAAATTATGTATGCAAATGCCCCTATTTTAATTGAGAATTTAGGACATGTTGCTAGCTTCGTCATACCAAATTATAAGTAAGCTAATAACAGTAGGAAAATATGGAAAAAAAATTGTTACAAATTGTATCACTTACCAATTAGATTAAGATAAAATTACAAATTATTAAATTTATTTTAAGATTAGCATATTTATAAGCTCTTCATATGTTATTCTAGTTTGAAGTAAATTTCATAATTTTTAAACTTACATATATATATATATATATATATAGTTGTATTAGAGTTTTGGATTTTTACTGAGTTTATGAATATAATAGTTTTCTTCTTTTAATTTTATTCTTCAGAGCAAGGTTTTGAAAACCATGTCGGATATTGAACTAATAAAGGAAGAGGTTCGAGGTTCAAAGGTTAAACTAGGGTGTAACTAGTGTTGCCATCAAATGAAATAATAAATCATAAATTTATTTTAAAATAACATAAATTACGTAATAATAACATAATTGATTCTTTAAGAAATTTGTTGCAAAGAATAATATGACATAGTCTTACATTTCAAATACAATCACTTAGTAATAATAATAATAATTTATTTAGGAAAATATTAAATATCAATATTAATATTCATAATTTTATCTTATTTAAAAAATATTTTTATTTTTAGATAAAAATATTTTTTTTACTAAAAAATATATATTATTAAGAATATTTCATGGAAAAAAAAATTGTACGACTTTTTTTAATCACAAAATATTTTATTTTTTGTTTTATATAGTAAATTGATTAATTATATAATAATCATTTTATTAAATTATTATTCCATTATGTAAATCAATATATTAAACTTAATAATTTATAAGTTTCCTTTGTAATATTCGTGGCTCTAACTAAAAATTTTTTTTTTTCATGCTTTCATTGCTTTTAGTCCCACATATCAAAGATGCATTCCCTAGTTGATCTTTAAAAGAAAGGTGTAGAAAGTAGAAATAACATTAAATGATTTCATAAAATTTAATATGTTTTAGTAGATGGGCCCATGACATTAAATAATATGTTTATTTTTTTGTTATGTTGGTCCTTGGTCCTTCAAGCTCAGTGAAAAAAATTGGTTTGAACCCCACAAAATTCCAAAAGAAACAAACTTTTTTAGCATTTATAGTTTAGTCTTAGTTACACATTTCTTTTATATTGGAGTTTGGGATATCTACAACAACAGATGCGCCTTCCACCTTGGCTTAAATCGTGAAAATTTTGCATACAAAAGCAGAAGCAGGCGGTTCTTTATATTGGAGTTTGGGATATCTACAACAACAGATACGCCTTCCACCTTGGCTTAAATTTTATGCGGTTCATTGGAGCCACGACCGGTTTGCCGGTTTTAAAATTGGACAGCTGGTTCTAGCTAGTCCAATGCAGAGGCAGTTTTTATCCCCGCCCAAAATTGGACTGTCGGTCGGTTCACAGATGAACCGGTCGGTTCAGTTTAGTGTTTTAAATCATGCTTGAGAGTGTTGTATCATTTCCTTTTACAAATGGTTTGTTGTATCTTGCTTAGGAATAGGTGATGGAACTTCCTCACCGCTCATATATCACCATATCTTTGTTGTTTTCATCCAGGAAAGCCATCAAACTCTCATCTACCCAATGTTTGGCAAAAGAACCTCGTTGTCTTCTCCTTTTGGGTTGATGCCCTGTCGTCAATCTATGCAAAAATATTGTGCAGCAACACATTTCACTTTGTATCTTTCTAAATATTGCACCCTCATAGATTTTTGTTCCTTGCCATTCCACAACCACGTCCCCGTTAGATCCCATTCCCAAAATATCTTTTAAGAGCCCTATAACATTATCATTTGGTATTAGAACCTGACAAACTCAAGTTTTTAGGGATTTGTCATCCAACACCTAGCCAAAATTCCACATAACTTAATCTTCTACAAATTCAATACCCAAACTATTACTCCTGCGATTCCTAACCTCAAGCCTAAAATTTTCAAAATTTAACTTTCCTATATCCACAAAAATTTGACCCAGACACATACTGCCAAAACTTAAGCCCCCTACCATCATTTTTTATTTACAATCCTACATTCATCGAAAACTTGAAAAACTGCCATAATGCCGCTGAGGAATCCATAAAGAAGTGTCCAAGAGCTTACTATGGATACTATACATCAATGTAACAGAGGTTTTCGACATTTGAGAGGAGACAATCTAATTTGGTCACCCATAACCATAACCGTGACTCATTAAATCCAGAGGAGAAAATATGGAGCTCACTAGCACTCCCAAATCCATTATAACCAAACACTACTTCAAGTGTCATGGGTTTGGGCACATTGCATCAGATTGCCCAAAAAAGAGAATGATATCTTTCAGCCAGCATGATATCATAAAGGAGGCAAAAGATGAACATCCATAGGAGGAGATCAGAGAGTACCAACGTGCCCAAACGACGAGGGAGAGATATTAATGATTTAAGTTGAACCGTAAGATTATCATTGTTGTTCTAGAAAGTAATGAGTATGAGGTAATGGACATTCATATAGAGTTTGGAAGTGATTCTATGAGTTTCTTTTTATTGGCATTAAGAAGAGCATGAACAAAGCTTACATTGGTTGTCCAAGAGGGTCATGGGTTCAAGAAGTTGACACCAGACATATGATAATCCTACATAAGAAGAATTGCATAATTTTAAGACATAATTTACCTCATATATGTCACTACTTAGGTGAAGTCCAATTTGTCAGAGATGAAAAAATTTTGAATTGTTTCTGTGAGGTTATGTGGAGTAAGCTAGGTGTTAATTTTCAGTTCAGTTCAATAATGCCGTCCCAGATAGATAGCCAGAAAAGAATAGTGAGACACTACCTCAAAAGTCTCGATAAGTGTTCTATGGGAAATAATATTCAACAAAGAGATCGAAACCCTTCCAAAGAAGAAGAAGAAAAAACTTCTCCAAGCCAAGGAGAATGACGCAAAATGCGGGGCACAACACTACCAACGTCCGTTGTTTGCAGAACATGCGATTGTGGGAGACAAGCCGAAGTGGTTTTTATTTTATTTCCTTTTTGTTCTCTTTCATTTATTTAATTAGCAAATTTCCTTCTTTTGTTTTTTTCCCTTTTTTTTCCATTTTTAGTTCTTACATATTTCTCTGGCTTATAATTATGTATCTGTTTTGAGGAGATTTGTATACATTCAATATTAGGATTTTGGATTTTTAGTTTTTGTAGAGTTTATGAATTTGATAGTTTGCTCTTTGAATTTAGCTCTCTGGAATGTTGTACCACTCCCTTTTGCAAGTGGTGCATCTATATCTTGCTCCGAAACAAGTGATTGAAAATCTTCACCACCTATATCTCAAAATTTCGTCATCCTACCTCAAGGAAAACCAAAGAACTCACGTCTACCTGCTGTTTGGCAGTTGAAACCGCTGTCTCCTGCTTATGGGTCACTGTCCCACTACAGATGATGGCAAACTTCTCCACAACATCACCTTGTACCCTTTCAAATACCGTCGCTCCCGCAGATTTTTATTCCTTCGCCATTCCACAACCACATCCCCACCAAATCTCATTCCCAAAAATACCTTCTTTGAGCCCTAGAATGGTATCATTGAATAGTTATAAAATTATCTTAAAGAATCTTGATTAAGTGAATGATATCTATTAATGGACTTAATCTATCACACCTGTAAAAGTTTTTCAATTTATACATGATCTAGGAATTCACAAATCTCAAATCATACGAGTTACTCCAAAAAATATTCTGTTCATACTTACTTAAGAATGCATCTTTTACATCCATATGAAAAAAGCTTAAAATTCTTTACATCAAGCAACCTCATAGCCTTTAATCTCACCACAGGTGCAAAAAACTTCTAATAATTTTCAAGCAAAAGTGACAGCATCTAGTTAAAATTAAGAGTAATATACAGCTGATAATTTTAAAAAACACAACCAATTACCTTGTAAATAATCAAACCGAGTACCTTACCATAGTGATGAACAGTCAAATGCAGAGTTTCCACAAAGCTGCAACGGTCACTAAACAGTGAGGTCGGAAGTATAGGGAGAATCAAATTCTGCAAACAAAAGCAACATTTACATATATACCACCCAATTACTAAGTATACATATCTAACACCTAAACTTAAATTTTTACATTTTTCCCCGCCCAAATCTTTCATATCACATCAGAAATACCACCATTTCATTTAAAAACAATGAAATACAATTTTTATGCAGAGGCAAGGTGGACTGTATGTAAAAATTAAAGTTGGGGCATTAACATAGTTATCCACCCAATTCATAAGTCTTTTACATATCTAACAGCTACATTTTACTTTTTACATAGACACCAACAAAGCTTTCATATCACATAAAAAAAGATCATCATTTTGTCTTTTTAGAAGTGAAATAACCCTTTTCTTGCATCGGTAGCGTGGCATGTATGTAAAAATTGAAGTTTAGCTGTTA